TAACAGTTCTGTATAAGGGACGCTGAACCCGGCTTACAGCAGGTGTTACTCCCCACCAATAGACTGGAGTCTCAACTGGGGGATTAGGAATGGCTGCTCTTGTCACCATTCCTAATGACTTCACTTGGGTTTGTTTAAGGGAAAAAAAAAATAAAAGAAAATCCAGATGGACAGCTCAATTCCTGTTAATGGGAACTGCAGCAAAGCGATCACCTTTCCCACAATGTTTCTCATATGCGGAAGAGACACTCAGGGGTGCAATACTGTGGACTCTTTGGACACTAAGGAACTCAGTGACCAGACGTGGAAGCAGGCTGACTCCGCCAATGGTCCGAGCAGAGGTCAAATCTGGCATAAAACAAATGATACAGGCTGACTGGGAGTACAGGGTGCAGTGGAAGAGGTTTACTAGGAAGGCAATGTAGTTCTTTACTACACGCTGGGCGGCTGGGGTGCCTTTGGGGGACTCGTAGCAGTGGATTGCCCCCCGGGACGAGTGCCTTGTCTGCTTTTTTTGGGGGTTTTCTTGTGATTGAAACATAGTGGTTGGCAGATCTGTAGGACTGTTCATGATTTCTGTTTGCAGGATAGTTCAGGCTATTATAGGATATTGGCACCAAAGCTAGAGTACAGTACATTAGGGACTTGTGGGAACTGTCCTTAATTCCTCAATACTTGGACTGGTTAGGTTACTGTAGAATGCTGCGGGCGAAGTTAGAATAACAGGTGTAATCCGAATACAAGACTCGAACACACAACCAACGGCTCGGCAGGCAAACACCTACCCATAAGGCTAAGTGGGCTGGGGTGAAAATGAAGCCCCAACATGAGCACTTCACCCCACCCCAGCACGGACATCCGCAACACGGTGTACCCAACCACACTCACCCCTACACAGCCACACTGCACATAGTACAATTTCTACGGCGGTTACTGCGCGAAAGCACATGTAATCCGAATACAAGACTCGAACACACAACCAACGGCTCGGCCGGCAAACACCTAACCATAACTTAAAGGCTAATTGGGTTAGAAGACCCTACTGAGTTTGACTCTAGTCGATTCTGGGAAATGACTGGGAAGAAAGGGGAGGCTTCTCATTCGAAAAAGAGCTGCCATTTCTAGATTTATGCTTCTTCTCGGCCGTTTGGCTGAGATCAAGTGTAGTATCTGTTCTGATCAGTTTAATATCTGATCCGTGGTCCATCGGACCACAATTACAAAAAAAAAAAAAAAAAAAAAAAAAAAAAGAAAAAGGAGCTGCCCTTACCAGGGAGAAAAAAAAAAAAAAGGAAGGAGGGAGGAAAAAAAAAAAGAAACGGCCACGAATGCCGCCGCAATTGTGCCTACGTGCACAAGAATAGGCCTGAGTGCGACTACTCAGGCTAGGTTATTGCAAACTGAACAGCCATTTTTGAGAATGTCTAAGTTCAGTTTGGCGGCGACGTACCTGCACTCAAATGTGTGCCGGGTAGGTCGGACTTTGGACAGCCATAGCTCTTCAAAGAAAGGCCAGAAAAGGGGGGGGGGGGGAAACGAAGAAAAAGACCACGAGAAGAAGGATTTTTACCAGAGAGCCTCGCTCAGCTCACCTGGCTCAGATCAGGGCTTTGGGGACTTCCATGTTAATAAACGATTGAAAACAGTTTCAAATTGCACTTCAGGCAATGTATACAAGCTAGCTTTCCGGTCAGGTACGCGCGTGTTATGTGTGGGGTAATGCCTGAAGGCCCTGAAGTGCAATTTATAAACTGTTTTTGTGTCTGTACTGAATTTGCCCCATGAATTTACCTTATATGGCCTGTGCCCTCCTGCCATGCAGGATGGTGCAGCCATATGGGCCGGTGTCCTCAAGTTTTCAAATGCCCGAAAGAGCCAGATCAGCGGATATGCCGAGATTCCACCTCCTGAATTCTGTCGATGTGATTCTCTTCTGCATGTCGAGTTGCACCTGCGACGCCTCTGCTTGTACCTCCACTACTGCGCCGTTTGGTGGGGGGATGAGATTCAGTATATGCCAAGCCAAAGACTATTCTGCTCCAACAACGTAAACCTTGGCCCCGCTGATTTCTTTTCTTCTTGTGATGTTATTTATTACTGTTTTCTTTTTTTTTTTCCTATACTCTTCTCTCAACTTCTGTTTCTCTTACCTTCCATTACCTTCTCCTAAGACTATCTAGAGGGGACCCCTGCAAGCATAGTTTTCCTCTCTCTGTGAAGGGGAGATTTCATGTTGCCCCTTGCCCCTAATGGTGAGGGTATAGGGTAGGGGCAGCCAGTGGGGGTCTGGCGAACACAAAGACCGGGACCTGCCAGTAGCTGTGCCTCCCTTTCTCATCGTCCCCCGCCCTTCATAGAGTAGCAGCAGAGGCTATGGCCAACACTCTCCCACACACCACGCACAACCCACTCGCGCTCACACTCACACCAGTGTTGGTCATAGACCCCGCTAATACCGATCAGGGGTAACCAGAGGACTATCACAGTCCGTTGGCACTAAGTGCGCCGCAGGCGGCCATGGGGCTTGAACCCACAACCTCCTGAATGCCACTTGCATGCCTAACCAAGTGAGCTATGTTCTTCTCTCAAATTCTCTCTGGCCTTTCACTACCTTCCTACCACCACTCCTAAGACTATATAGAGGGGACCCCTGCAAGCATGGCTAACGCAAAGACCGAGCATTTTGGCAGTAGCTGCACCTCCCTTTCTCATCGTCCCCCACCCCTCATCGAGTAGCAGCAGAGGCTATAGCCAACACTCTCCCACACACCACACACAACCCATTACTGCTATTTTTTCTAAACTACACTACTCCTCTCAAATTCATTATGGTAAAAAAATAATAATAATAAAAAAAATCATTATGGTATCTAGCTGCGTTGGCGTACTGTTGTTTCGCCTTTTACTAAAGAATACGTTCGACAAGGCTCGTCTGATTCCGCTTCCACCAGGGCTGGGCAACCTATCAGCCCTGGTGCCTATCACTGCTGTTCGGTCCAAGTTACCTGCCTGCCCATTGGTAGGGTAATAGTCCTGAGTGCTGGTCACCCTGAGGTAGGATAGTGGGATAGGGGGTGCGCTAGGAGCATTGATGGAAGGATGGGATGGGAGGTGGTCCCATATTCCAGGACACCGGTGGCCTACTACTCCAGGTGATCACTGTGTACTCACTGACTGTGGCCTCTACAACACCATGGACTTACAAAAAAAAAAAAAAAAAAAAAAAAAAAAAAAAAAAAAAAAAAAAAAAAAAGAATACGGTGGGCCTGGTCCCATTGGCAAAAGTGATTGGACTTAATTCCTGAATCTGGACGTGGAGAGATCCAGAACTTATGATTGATCTGCTTTTCGGCATCTCTCCAGAAACGCATCCGGATTCAGGAATTAAATCCAATCCTCTTTGCTGGTTGCAGCCTATGTCTTTTTTTTTTTATTATTATTATTTTTTTTAATTTTATAATGGGGTGATCACAACTGTCTATATTCTTCTCTCAACTTCTGTTTGCTTTACCTTCCACTACCTACTCCTAAGACTATCTAGAGGGGACCCCCGCAAGCATAGTTTTTCCTCTCTCTTTGAAGGGGAGATTTCATGTTGCCCCTTGCCCCTAATGGTTAGGGTATAGGGTTGGGGCCCCCAGTGGGGGTCTGGCTAACACAAAGATCCAGACCTGCCAGTAGCTGTGCCTCCCTTTCTCATCGTCACCCACCCTTCATAGAGTAGCAGCAGAGGCTATGGCCAACACTCTCCCACACACCACACACAACCCACTCGCGCTCACACTCACACCGGTGTTGGTCATAGACCCCACTAATACCGATCAGGGGTATCCAGAGGACTATCACAGTCCGTTGGCACTAAGTGCGCCGCAGGCGGCCATGGGGCTTGAACCCACTCTTCGTTCTGTCAAAAAAAACAGAAAAAATATAAAATTTTAAATTCATTATGGCTCCCAGATTTGCTTTTTTTTTTTTCTTCTAAAAAAGTCATTCATCTTTCACTACCTACCTACTACCACTACTCTTAAGGGCATACTCACACCAGGACTTCAATGGATGTATCTGAACGCTTTGATGGCGAGGCCGGGATGCATCTGGCCGCATATTCGTCCAGCTCTCAGAGGAAGAAGTACCTGTGTAAGGAGGCAAGAGGGCTATACCGGGGACCCCTGCAAGCTATCTACCTCTCTTTTGTTTTCTTTTGTTTTCTTTTTTTCTTTCTTTCTCTTTTTTTTTTTTTTTTTTTCCCAGGTTGTTGTAGAGGTGGGATACTAGACCAATGACAGCTATCTACCTCTCTTCGTGAAGGGAGGTTACCTCTGTCGGTGGAGGGAGGTAATTGCATGTTGTTTGCCCCTCGCCTAGTGGTTTTGGGTGGCGTTGTGCGACTTTTTACTTATTTCAGGACATAACTGCGATCACATACAATGTGTGTGATGACTGCCCCCTGCGGCGGGATGCGACGTATGACTTCGCACATGTGCGTACCCATTCAACCACATAGGCCGCGGCCTCAGCCCTGTCGATGCTTCGGCCCGATCGGCGGGTGTACCGACGTCAGACAGATCTTTTTCCAAGGACTCCGCCGACAGATTGGCGCCTTGCCTGTGGAAAAGGAGGGAAGTAGAAAGGAAAAAATCCCGTCGGTTGATTGCCATGCTCCTAACGGATGTTGGCGCCATGTGAAGGCAGATGGAACGGACCGCATAGAAAACAGAGCTATATAGTACATAGTACGCAGAAAATCCTGAGGCGGATTGTATGAAAAGTCATCGATCGCTGTTTCTACTCCCGGCCGGCGATGGCGGATGCCGCTTGGTTGGCCATTCGGGATAGCAATAGCAAGAAGGAGAGGGGAAGCGACCTTGAAGTTGTCGCTTGGATGGAGGATGCGAGTCGGCAAAAGGTGTGTCTACTGGGCGGTGGCACCGCTTTGTTAGATGGTGGATCCCTTTGGCTCTTAGGAGCGATACCTGCGAGGACCTGGTGGGTTTGATGTGCGATGGCTTTTCAAGTGTGAAGGTGGCTGTTCTGGTATTGTTCAAGATCGGCTAGCAGGAGTGAAGGTGAGTAGACACGAAAAAGTGAAGAGGGGAAAGCGGGGAGCGAACAGCGAGATTGAGAGGGCACGGAGGGAAGGCAAAATAGATTTCTTCTTACGTGAAAGTCTTCTTGAGTTACTCTCTCTCTCTCTCTCTCTCTCTCTGTGCATGTGCGTGCGTACTAGAGAGAACTCATTTCTCTCACTCGAGTCACTCGGGTTGTCTGGATGTGCGTGCGTACTAGAGAGAACTCGTTTCTCTCACTCACGCTGTGAGCCTGTGTGTGTAAAAGGACGCAAGAGAGAGAGAGAGAGAGAGAGAGAGAGAGAGAGAGAGAGAGAGAGAGAGAGAGAGAGAGAGCATTTCCGGAGTTTGTGCAAGTTCTTTTTTCTTTTCGACCGACTAATTCGGTGCCATCCGCATGTAAGCAGGGCTGCTGCTGATGGGGCGGTAGCACGTCAGTGCTGACTAGTGCAGTACAAAGTAGAGAGAGGGAATGTGGTGGAATGCCTCCCAGGACTCAGAGAAACGCACGGATTTTACTGAGACACCATTTGGTCTTGCGTGAAGCTTCCTGTGATGCAGGTCGCAGTTGGCTGGGACGAGGGAGTTGAAGCTCGTTGGGATCTCAGCTCCGCCGCAGGTCAACGGATTGGCAGACTACGCCAGTACGACCGATCGCTTATCGCAGAGCTCATGGGTGTGCGCTACTCCGGGACTCACGCTGGCTATGGTGAAGACTACTGGACCACAACATCCAAGGATTGTAGAGCTACCGAATGCTGGCGTCGGTGAGTCTTATCGGAATCCGTTATGAGGCAGCTGGCGTCGGTGTGCTTCTCTGATGATGAGTCTTATCGGTCCCGAGAGAGAGAGAGAGAGAGAGAGCATTTCCGGAGTTTCTGCATATCGGAATCCGTTTTGAAATTTGAAGCACCCGCGTTGAGCCTTTTTGGCTGATGTTACTCCATAAAGGCAATCACGGGCAACTTTCTTTTGCCCTTCTTTTTCTCTTTCTCTAGCCATCAACGCTAACGCTGACGAATCCACTGTCCACTACCGTAACGACTATTGTTCTCGTTTATTGTTGGAAGTAGTATAATTTACGAGTAGTTTTATCGTTGTTTGGCGGCGGTAGTCGTATCAGTGATGGTGTTTTCAGCGGCGGTGAGACAGCAATAGGGCGAAGAACAGCCGTCCATCCTCTTTGGGTGTATGACCCCAGCCTTGCGATCTCCATCGCTACTTTGGGGAGGAGTTCTCCGATCACCAAGATGGTGGCTGTAGTTACTCCTCCGCCTGCATGTCCTTCTCCTCGTCCTGCTCTTCCCCGTAAATCAGACGGCCGCTGCACCATTGACCATCGGCTGGTCAACGGTGATGAATCTGATAATCTCACACACCGGGCGGGACAGGAGCTAGGCGTTCAGACTGACGGTTACGGCGTTAGCGACGACGCGCAGTCGCATTTGGATAATGCTCGTCGCGATAGGGATCGTCATTGTCAGCACTACGCTTACTGTCCTCATGTTTATCCTCGCAGTCATGGAGAGCTGGCTCACGACCACAGTTTATATGCTGAGCCCGGCGGCGGTGGATCCAGACGCCGCCCGCTTGCTGCTTCGTCGCCAGCTGCTGTTCACTGCTGCTGCATGGACGACCAGGTCTCCGCTTCGCACGACCGGATAGCCTACTGGTCGGCGCGCGAACGTGGCCAGCCGCAGCCGTTTGGTGTCCTTTCCCATCCTGATGGCGTCGGATCTATCGCCTTCTGCTCTCTCGGTGGCTCTCTTCCTCCTCCTCCTCCTCCTCCTCCTGTCTCCCATTCTCATCCCCCGCCTCGTCGTAGCGTGTCGAGTTCGTCTTCCGATATGGACTCGATGTGCCACCTGGGGATCATCGAGGAGAGTGCTGTTGAGTTCTCGGACACTGACGGCTCTCATCCTCCTCGTTCTGGAATTGCCCAAGACGTGTGTGGTGGTTGTCCTCCCTGTCCTCCCTGGGGTTCTGCAGTCCCCCAGCAGGTCAATAATAGCAGGCGTTCGAAATGCCCAGAATGTCCGAGGACCAATCATGCTATAGAAGCTGATGCTAACAGTGGTCATTTTAATTCTTGCTCGACGATTGTGGGTCATCGTGATGCGTTTTGGCCGGTGGGAAAAGAGAGGAGTGGGGAGGAGAAGCAGCAGGGGGATGACGAGGAGGAGGAGGAGGAGGATGTATTGTCGGTGTCAGGATCCATCAGCAGCAACGATAGTTTCTGCCCGCTGCTACAGTCAGACAGACAGCGCAAGGCGTTGCTCGACGACGAAGAGAGGGGGGAGGTCGAGGACGCGTTGTCGGTATCGGGATCCAGCAAGTCGTCGTCGGCTAAGCCTACATTGGAGGAAGTGGGAAGTTGCAGCGCCGAGGTCCGTCGTCAGGCTCGTCTCGCCGGCCCCATCATTGTCATGAATCTCCTCTGGCAGTCGCGATTCTCCGTGGCGGCTATGTCCTTGGGTCCTCTGGGCACGGTCACTCTTGCCGGCGGCGGTCTTGCTCTCGTCTTGGCCAATCTAACGGGCTTCTGTCTGTTATCCGGCGTGTCGGTCGGGATTGAGATCCTTTGCGGCAAGGCTTACGGAGCGGGAAAGTTTCGGGAACTTTCCTTGACAGTTCAGCGCGGATTGCTCCTCTTGTTGGCTGTTTGCGTATTGACCACGTCGGTGTGGTTGGCCCTTCCGCCGCTTCTGATTGCGACGGGGCAGAGCCCGGCTGTAGTGGCAGTTACTGCGCGATTTCTAGCCTTCCTAGTCCCGGACTTCGTGGCCTGCGCGGGTGTCAGCGCGCTTTGCGCGTTCCTCCGCTCGCAGTCCATCACCCGGCCAATCATGATGAGCACGGCGCTAGCGCTGGGGGTGCAGATGACGGCCAGCTGGGTGCTGATCAACCGTCTGGATCTGGGGATCGGCGGAGTCGCGATCGCGCTCTTCATGACCGACCTGACCATTCTTCTCTCGCTGTTACTCGTCGTCGCGCTCTTTTACCGGTCGAGGTGGACTGGTTTCTCTAGCGAATGCTTCTCCAACCTCCGCCCGATGATGGCCATCGCTCTCCCAGCTTGTCTCGCGATAGCTGTGGAGTGGTGGTGCTACGAGTTAATGACCGTCCTGGCCGGTCTTCTTCCCAATCAAGCGGTCAGCGTGGCATCCATGTCGGTAACTTCGAATCTCTCCTGTCTGTACTTGATGGTCCCATCGGGCATGTACTTAGCGTCCAGCATTCGATTGACTAACGAGCTTGGCGCGCGTCGTCCCGATCGGGCACGCTTGTGCGCCCACGTGGGCTCTCTCCTGTCGCTGGTCGGAGGCCTGATGGGTCTCGTGACCATGCTGTTGTGCAGAGGAACATGGACACCCCTCTTCACTGACGACCTCCACGTCATCCAGACCGTTGATGAGGTGTTGCCTTTCGTTGGATTGTGTTCGTTGGCAGAGAGTCCGGCGTCCATGGCAGCCGCCATAGCCAGATGCACTGGTAATCAACGCCTGCCGGCAATCATCGTGATTCCCGCGTACGCTGTGGGGCTGACACTTGGCATATCACTGGCTTTCCGCACGAACATGGGTGTCAAGGCCTTCTGGATGGGGTTGGCTGTGGCGCAGTTCTTGAATTTCTTGCTGCTGTATCTCTTCGCCTTACGATCCATAGACTGGCGACGGATTCCCGTCGGGGAGGAGGCTAACACGGGGGAGATCACTGGCGATAGCGAAGGAGAGGGAGAGGGGGAGGGGGAGGGAGAGAAAGAGGGAACACCTCCTCAATCACCACTAATAACGACGAAGATCGCATGGGCGCAGTCGACGGAGAAGACGAATCAATCGACGACAGTTGATCCTCACCATCTTCATCCTTCTCCACAAGAGTGCGGGGATGCACAAGCTTGCTATTCTGGATCTCCAGTGGGTGCTCACCGTCTTTGCCCTTCTCCCCAAGAGTGCGAGGACGCAGAAGGTGCTCGCTATTATGGTCCTCCCGACACCCATGGCCCTCGGAGGTCTTCTTCACTTTCTCAAGGCTCCTCTCTCACGGAACCTTTGCTGCCTTCGTCCTACCAACCTTAGATTGATTGATTGATTGATTGATTGATTGATTTTGACGAGTTGTTGATTGATTGGTTGACTTGGAGGATCACCATATCGGGGCGAGTCGGTGACCTTTGAGTTGACCTGGTACAATGGGCACCAGGCACTCGTTTATTTCGCTCGTGTCCACCGGGAAATTGCTCTTCCCTGAGTCACGTCTCAGCTCGTATGAGCTCGTATGATTTAGTACTTGCTGCTGGTTTGCCCAGTAACGGTGAGTAACGGTGAGTAACGGCACCCG